AAATTGTACCATGGCGAGAGTAGACATGACACTGATAATATTATTCTTAGGCCTAACTACATAGGGAGGAACGATCATCCCAAAAAGATAAGGCGGATACAATCGCGACTACTATCATACCACAATTCGTTCTTTCCTAAAACTATCCGAGAATGGAACCAACTTGATGTAACTTTAGCCGCAATAGAGACGCTTTCTGACTTCAAAGCGATGTTGTAATGTGTGTACTTGTAGTGTATAATGTTGTGTTCGATGTGTATTTGAAAGAGGAGACTCATGCTACGACCAATCCAGACGAATCGAATTTAGTGCGATCCGCCGACCATCACCAGGACCTACCAATGGTATTTGTGATGTTTTTCTATGAATACAAATGATACAAAAATAAGTTCAGGAAATGTCTTACGTATCATCCTTGATATATGTGTGTATTGTGGATCCATTTTGTATTCCTCAATCCATTGGGCAACTTAAATTCGAAATTTTAGTGATTCCGCCCAATATTTCGCCCAGTTTATTCGCTCCGTTTCTCTATCCTCTGAAGCCATATCTCGTGACCTTTTCACCCTGCCCTCCTCCGCTGGGCCTTCAGCGCTGGGTTAATTAAAACCCTCGCCCCGTTGGGGGGGCCATTTTGGCCCCCTCCTGTGGTTTTTCCTGAATAGCAAGAAAACGGCGGCGCTGCGCGCCGCCAAATTTTCAGTACCTTCCCGGGCATCAACTTGACACCTTTACACCAAATTTCAAGTCTTAGGTCACCTTAGGTCAGGAGTTATTGAGGTCAAACTGAGGTCATGTTCGAGCAAAAATGAGCAAAAAACACGCAATCTTGAAACGCTGACCAAATCTACAGTTATCAAGTAATTTCAAAGTTCTTTATATGGTCTAGTAGACAAAAAGCGGCGCTACAAAAAAGCTATCTCGGATTTTCAAAATTTTGGGTTTTTGACCCAAAAAAATGAAAAAAATGATTTTTTTAGAAAAAAAATAAAAAATCCAAAATTTTTCCGAATTTCAAAAAACCGAAATATATGTGATAGTCCCTGCGCTCTTCTATATACATATTAAATTTCAGATCGATATCTCGTTTTTTGGCCAAGTTATAGCGAAAAAACTGTTCAAAAATGATGACGTCAAATTTTTTAACTCAATTTTTAGCGATTTTAGACCACGTACGGCAAAACAAAGACCACCATTGAACTCCCCGTGACAAGCTGCATCGATTCGATACCCATTTTATGCAAAAATATTAACTTTGAAATTTGACCTAATTTGACCTGACCTTGACCTGACCTTGACCTGACCTTGACCTGACCTTGACCAAAACGTGACCTAAGCTGGCCCCAAAGGCTGCCTGACCCACATAATCGCATTCGTCATGTAAAATGAACCATAAAACATGTATCACACGACACTTTCATATTGTGACCCCCCGTGACCTGACCTCTGTGACCTGACCTGGTATCAGTGACCTCAAATAGCAAAATATGTGTTTGAAGAACATCTCCCCATCGATGATTTTCAATGAAATGCATTGTACTCGATTTTACAACGCATTTCTTGAAATGCCTGTAAACGGTGAAAATTGGACCTTTGACCTGACCTGTGACGTCATCGGTTTGACCTAGGTCAATAAAATTGGGTCACAAGGTAGTTCCCTGATAGGGCTATCCAACACCGTTTGCCGCTTGTCGCTAGGTTGCGTGGTTCTCGAGATCTTAGGGGGGGGGGGGGGCCAAAATGCCCCCCCCCCCCCCAACGGGGCGCGTTGCTCGGCAGAGCCCAACGGGGCGCGGGTTAATCACTGGGCTTGAGTCCCTTTCACTAAGAGGTGCCGTCCTTGTTTTCACACGAGGTCATGAGTTGATCCAGAATGGACTGATAACCTGTATTCCTACTCCTGCGCGGGACTGCCGAGTCGATGGATTTTCGGTCACTCCGACTCTGACTCCGAGCAGAATTGTCGATTCTGATTGACTCCGTCTCCGACTCCTGCGCTATTTATAGACCACTCTTAGCCGCTCCTGTCTCCCTGAGGTGCACAGCGGGAGTCTATGGAGCTGACTGAACCTCCCGACGTCTCATTTGTATTCATTACTCTATTCGACATGTCAGAAACTTGTAACGACGAGCGGCGACGAAAGCTGCTTACTGATTAGGATTACCGCCACTATATGTTTGGCTATGCGATCTGGGTTTCGGGCTAAATGACATTCATGGCTTTTTGGGATGAGAAATAGAACGAAAATATGAGTGAAATTTACCGTCGACTCGACGCCATGATGGCGCAATACGGTATTCTGTTTCTTGTACCCTGTCTTTTCTCTATCTCATATTTGTTTTGATTTATTATTAACATTTTTGTGGGTATGGGGGCAAGGGCGAAGACTTGAGTGTTATGTCCCATACTAGTAAATGTCCTAACACTTTTCCTTAATTGGGGCTTTTGGTCTAATTACCGGCAATTTGATTGTCAAAGCATGATTGGATAATTGATCAAGGGCTGTACATTGGGCTGAGGTTAGAGGTGTCAATTTCAGAAATTTCTTGTCCGATGTCCGTCCAATGTCCAAAATCCTAGCTCACTTTTGTCCGAAAAATGTCCAAGGCATGGATTTGTCCGAAAACTGTCCGAAAGCTGGATATGGAAAGAGAGGATGGGGGAATTGATCTATATTAGGTATATGTTATTATGTACCACATGATAACTAAATAACAGATATCCGCCATCTGGTTTTGAGTGCAAAATATTGGCAACTAAAAATGTTGAAGCAATATCATATGCAGTAGGGAATGGGCATTTGGGCAAAAGGCCTAATCTGATATACAACACAAATACAGCATATTGAGACAAGCCTATTCTTCTTTAAAATGTGCTACAGCCTACAACTGAAGCTGAGTAGGCAGGAATAATGCAAAACATTGCCTTATCCCTCAAACTTGTGTTCTCAAATATTGACTTCTTGCCGCATCCCTTTTTTGACACTAAGCCACTTGATGATGAAATAATACAGCAATAATGCAAGAAGCTAGTCACTTACAATAATGCATATCTTCATCTTATATCACACTGGCTGACATGTAAAGAAGAACACTTTTTGCAAAAGCAAAATAGTTCAAGTTCATGTAAGAAGAAACATGTGAGATAGGTAGGCACCATCTGGAAGAAACGTGCTCTTCAGTGAGCCACACATCTCTGAATATCGAAACAAAATAAGCGATTAATGTTTATGTTTTTTTCGGAGTTGTTTTTTTCGGAGTTTTTTAATCATGACACTCAGGTCATATCTCAAAATAAGCGATCACAAAAACGAAAATACTTGCTATGATTTAACACAAATTCACTGAAATTCACAAGCAAAAATTTGTAATCCTCGGTAGAAAGGAAAACACATTTCATGCTACCATTCTCGGTAGAATGGAACATGGTATCCGGCTTTGAGTCGATGATGTGAAAGTAAATCAATAATATGACGTCATTATCAGATAATTTGTCCTATTGAAGTGCATTTACCATTAGTTGTTTAATATAAAATCAATATGCATTGAAAAATATCATAATTTTTCGAAAATTATTCAATTGTTAAGCAAACTGACTGTATTTATTATTTTAGACGTCATTTTAAGTCTCCTCTGATTCTCATCCGGGGCCCATCTTTCCTTAGGTGACATTTATGACGCTTTCGCCGCATTTCATCATCTTTTGGTAATCAGTTTATTTGGATAGGCTATCGGCATTATGTAGCATTTATTGTATTCGATATTTCGGCACGGATATTTTTGGGGGGGAAGGGGTGGAAGGGGATGATTTTATGATAGGAGGTTCTAGGTAAGACTCTTGTGCTACTTGGCACACCTTGATATTTGCAATTTTTTCAGCCTCTTCTGTTAACTTTCAAGTGAGGCAAATCTATTTTTGGATTTCCTTCTTTACTGCTTTGGTGTCTAGTGCTTCCCATAGGTCAATGATTGTACATCATATTCATAACTGTGTTATCTTATGATGGGCTTACTGACAACAATGTCACCTATTGGCTATTGCCATTCGTAAACACATTTTCAAATTTAGAGTGTAAAAGTTGGCAAAGTATAGGTAGGTATATATTTGACTCAGAACTACCTGCTACATGCAATTATGTTTATGTTCATCTTGCACTATAATTATTAATGATGTATGAACCACATATCCCCTGCCAATTTCGAAGACATGTTTTGCAATTTGCATTTTGATAATGGAAATAAGTTTGAACTTTAACTTATTTAAGAAATTTGTTATTTTCAACTAGTTTTCCGAATATGTCCGAAGTGTTTGTCACTTGTCCGTCCGATTTCCGAATCGGAATTCGGAAATTTTCGGAATTCCAAAATTTTCGGTTCCGATTGACACCTCTAGCTGAGGTGCAATATACCAACTATAGTGTCCTTACTGTCCTTGTCATTCCCTTGTCCTGTCCTTGCCGACCCTCTCCTTCCTTAGGACAGGCCAACGGGATGCATTAACGGTCACCCGTCCCCCGGCTATACCTGAGGTGACTGAGGTATTCCGGTGGATTTTGTTTACTTCTGCTCCGACCACCGGTGATTGCTCAGTTCGAATCACGAGAGAGAATGGTGTACGATTGAGACGAGTTGACGGATGTGATCAGCACTAATTGATTTTTTGTTCAACGCTCATTTGCAGACTAAAACCATTCCATCCCACCGGCGACTGTATCACTCATCCAGCAGACTCCCAACTTTTGTCTGCTGACAGGATAACATAAGTATGTAACTACCTATTATGCATCCTTGACAAAGACCACCCTCATCTCGCTGCTCTTCACACTCTGCACCCATTGCCCGAGGGACAAGCATGCCTACATACTACCTCAGCAGACAGCGGAACAGCGAATCAGCACACCGCTGCGGCTGCTCGGTATCGGCCAGAAGGCAGCGGTCACTCCAGGCGTCGAGTTCACCGCCAGCCGGCCGCTGCCTCGTGCGGTGCCGCGTGTTCAGTCGAACAGCAGTCGGCGGAGCGGTCGCACCTCTGGAGCGCTAGTTCCGTGTGTCGAGAACGCTCCACTGTGATCACGTGTGGGGGCTGTCGTGTGTACTTTGACTGGAAGATTGTACGTTGGTGAAGATTTTCGGAAAAAAACTTGTAAGGAGTGGCTAGGAGGATTGGTGGCCAGAACTACACGTGTGAAAAAGTGCGGTGCTGATCATCCGGCCTTGGTTTTTGCGTGTTCGACGTCCCACAAAAACTGAGCGGAAGGTTGTTGGCAGTGAGATGCTCACACCATGTCTCCAAACAGCTTGAAGTGACTCGTGTGACGTTTGTTTCGCTAGCGTGACGAGCCGTTATCTGGTGTTATCCGTCGTGACGCACCGTGACGGCGACCGTCACGCTCGTGACCTCTTCATGACAATGGTGGCCGTGCGCCGTTTGTCCCGCGATCTGCGGAGACTGCTTCCGCTAGCGTTTCTTATCGGGTGTTCACTACTTAGTATAATCTACGTGAGGTCATACAGACAAGGTTGGCCTGTGTCACAGCCCTATCACACACGGAAAGTGGGCTCCATTGATGAACAGCGCGGGTCAAGATCCGAGGAAGGGATACAGACTGCGAAAGGAGCGGCCAAATCACAGCATGGTGCGAACAGGTGAGTGAGATAAGAAGCTCAACGAATCCGGGTGCAAAGACGAGTAGAATCGGGGCAACAGGCGTGGCAAATCGTTGCAAAGCGCATCGGTGCGAGACGAATCGGTGCACGCCGTATCGGTGCAGGGTGCATCGGTTCTCAAATTGATGCGAGGTGAATTAGGGCAGCGGGAGAGGCCCGGCAGCTAATTGCAGTTACGATGCACGTGCAGCAGATGCAACGTTACCTCCTGTTTGCAATGCATCGAGGTCAATGTTCGGTAGGTAGTGCCGAAACTCGCCCGGAGGCGATCCGCTGGGTCGTAAAGATGACTGGTAACTCTGGGAGGGAGGGTTTGCCTTCCAATGGCTCATAAAACGATCACTGGCAGCTGGAGGGCCAGGTGGAGAATTTGGGTGGGAAGTTGACGAGCACCTGAGGAGGTTTTTGTTGGAATTCTTATTCTGGAACGTCCGACACCGTTAGCTTGGTGCGGTCGGGAATACACGAGTTATTCCAGTATTGAGTTGTGAGCAGCGGAAGTGTCTGTGGGAATAATGGCATATAAATTCAGGAAATAATCATCAGGAAGTCACCACTGAGTATTCATCATCTACGGGGGTCTTAGAAGACCATTTTGGTCCAGAATATGTCGACTCAAAACATCCAATACTATGTTTGATGGATGTGTTGAGCGGTCAGACCTCCAGCCCGCGGCCGCAGCTTAAACAGCCTGGAATAACTGCGGTTTTTTGTTAACATCCCTTTGTACAGACATTAAAGGTAGTGTGCCACCTTTGAAAGATTTCCCATTTTATTTTTCCTAGGATAAGAAGCTTCTGTTTTTACCTAATATCGCAAAAAAATCAAAAATGGGCCTGGAATAGTGCCTTTTTCGCCTAAAAGTATGTATGTATGTATGTATGTATTGACACCAAAAGCCTTCCACATATGGCGTGGCGATTACGGCTTAAGTTTATCGGTTTTTCGATATGTATAACAACTGTAGTGGGCTGACCTGCAAACAGGCGTCGGCAACAATCGCGAATGCGGCGCACATGTGACAATAAGCAAAGGTCATTATAGAGTTACGACGTACGGGAATGAGTTATCAGCTGTCTAATCGTAGACAACACAATGTCGAGCCTTAAACTGTAAGCCTGTATTGGTATTGTTTCTTTTATTTGGCTGTCGAACATTATTTATGGTTTAAAATATGATTTTATGTAAAATAATTGATATGAAAAAGCCGTCTCATAAGTTATGACCCCATTTCACCACACGCAAGTGGCAGAAATGACAATGATCAGCTGACGCATTTTTCTTGGCCAAAGTCAGAGCGCGCGGCCCGACGCACCACCACCGCACCACAAAGTATGAGCAGAAGCCGCGCCCAAAGCCAGGGCCCCGGTAACGTGAGGTAGCCGAGTCGGGGCAGCGTGCGCTGACCCAAGCCGGGGCCGCCATAGAGGTCTTATATACATAGAGATGACACGCCTATGTTAAAGCACTTGATTTCGTGGCGATTCAGTGGGTCTTTTTAAGCAAGGTTTTCTGGGGTGCCATGGCCCGTGACTTGCATTTTGTAAGGATTCGGTCAAGGAGATTGTGTTCACATCCGCTTATTTTTAAGTACAGTTTTTCTTTTTTGTCTAGCTGTGACGCTTTCGAGCGTTATTATTGAAATGAAATTAGGCATGTTTAACTTTATGCTCGTATCAGGTACTGGATGTATCATTAACCCGCGCCCCACTGGGGGGGGGGCTATTTATAGCCCCCCCTCCCGTTTTTCTGCAATAACTTCCAAACCGCTTGACGGATCGACGCCAAACTTTCAGTACCTTCGGCTGCATCAATTTGACACCTTGTGTCAAAATTTGAACTTCGTAGCTACCATAGGTCGGCCGGAAATGACGTCAGAGTGACGTCATGTTCGTCCGATTTCGACGCAAAACATTGAACCACGGCAATCGCTCCCAAGGGCTCAGTTTTTAAGCTAGATCCAATTTCTTTGCATGAAAGGACTCAGAATTGACCGCGCTATCAAACTGCTATCTCGGATTTTCAAAATTTTGAAAATTTCGAAAATTTTATATAATAATATTCAAAATTTATATTTTTATATTTTTTTTCAAAAAGTTTTTGACTTTTCGAAAAAACCGGAATATATGTGACAGAACGCATGATTATGACTAACTCTAGCAAGTTTTAGCTAAATATCTTCAAAAATGGCCAAGTTATACGCATTATTGCAAAAAATTCACAATTATTAATTTTTCAAATCAATTTTTTAGTACGTATTTGACATCACACACCAATATAAATGGCACCATCGTGTTCCTGAGCTCAAACTGCATGCAATAGACACCTTTTTCTTGAAAAATTTTAACTTCAAAAATTGACCTTTTTGACCTGAAAGTGACCTGACCTAGGCTAAATTCGACTCAAAATGACCTCGAATGACACAGACGACATCAAATTCGAAATCTATGGCCTAAATGGACCATAAAACATGTGTCACGTGACCGACGGATGATATAATATTTTCGTGACCTGTGATGACCTGACCCTGACCTGAAAATCAAAGTACAAGTTTGGTACCCTCAAGGTATCTAGAGCATCTGTTCACGAGTGTGGAAACCAAAAATTAGCCTGATCTGACTTCTAAGACGGCGGCCAGAGCCCAAAATGTGAACAAGCCAAAATGCTAATAATTTTTACTTTGACCTGACCTGTGACGTCGTCGGTGACCTCGAGGTCAATGAAATTAGGTTTCGCTCGACAGTTTTTCCGGGGCTATCAGACGCCGTTTGAATTTTGACGATCGGCCCAGTAGTTTCGGAGTTAGGAGGGGGGGGGGGGTGGCTATGAATAGCCCCCCCCCCCCCCCAGTAGGGCGTGTTATACACAGACCCCAGTGGGGCGCGGGTTAACCCTCGCCGTCCGACGGGGGGGGGGGCGGGTGCCGCCTCCCTATAGGGTTTTTCACGATAGCTCCGAACACGCAGGCGATAGAGAGCTGAAACTTGGCATACCTTTGATCCAAGCCGCATCTTGTGACACCAACCGCATTTTCAGGTCAGGTCAGGTCACTGACCTATCACGTCATAAGTGAACCTCTGCATGGTCCTCAGGTGTCGCAACTTCGCAACGCCGTCAGTGCCAGAGGAGATGTCACAGGGAAATGAAACTTGCAGGATCTAGTATCCATTATGAGTCCCACAACTTGTATATCTCGGATTTTTCCTAAAGGTCATATGAGGTCAGGTCATTTTCGTGACCTCACCATTATAAGTCAATGGGCAAAAATGAAAACTGCTATTCTGGCACCGGGAACAATCTCCAACTATCTCAAGCACACAGAATCGTGATTTGATGCACTCCTTGCAAGGTTAGATGCGTCACTTTTGCAATGTTGACCTTGCGTGACGTCATTTATGACGTCATCAAGGTCATATTAGTTTTTCGTCAATAACTCTTGATCAAATTGAGCTAGCAAGTCTTGAAAGCCACCAATGGACTCAGGAGGGCCTGCCGAATCGAATGATATGCGACATGACCTCTTTCGACCAACTTCGTGACCTGGGGGTGCTGACCTGACCTTGACCTGAGGTCAACACCCAAAGTTGACCTGACCCGGACAAAAAGTATATCATTCGACGCGCCTGAGCGAGGCAAACACGATGCTGCCAAAATCGGCGCTCTGCGGCCGTTTTTGCGAAGTTATTCACCAAAAACTGAACCGTACCTTGGGGCACTTGACCTGACCTCAGAGGTCACCGGTTGACCTAGGACCTTAAAATCGGGTACCAATCTCTGCGTCTCGTATTGGCGCACACGCTCGTTTTTTCCGCGACGCGCTAGCTCCACCAGGGGCGAAACGGCGAGGGGGGGGGTCGTACCCGCCCCCCCCCCCTCGGCCTGCGCGTATGTAGAAAACCAATAGGTCCGGCGAGGGTTAATGTATCATTGAATGGGAACATGCAACATATGTATATTTGAGCTTGCACCCTGCTCAGAAAGGTTCAGAGATGCCGTTTTCACGACGGTTGACCGAAAGCGCCAAACTTGACCAAATCTCAAGGAACCTACCCTGAAAATTCCATGAACCTGACCCAAATGACCTTAGACCTGTAACCTTTTTTTTGGGGGGGGACCATGTCAGGGGGGCCATAAAACATGCATCGCACAACCCTAGTAAATAGTAAAGTTGGTTCATGTGCTGACCCTTGGTGACCTGACCTGTGACCTGACATGGTATTGTCAGTGACCTCTAATGGCAACACATACTAGGCAACGTACGCCCTATTTTTAACGTACGCGAAACATTTTATCTTTGACCTGACCTGTGACGTCATCGGTGACCCCGAGGTGAATGAAATTGAAGTTCCGTCGACAAATTTGACAGGGCTATCGAACATCGTTTGAATGTTACGGATCCGTCCAGTAGTTTCGGAGATACGGGAGGGGGGCAAAAAAATGCCCCCTCCCCCACTGCGCGGAAGGTGGCCGGGAGGTCCACCGCCTGCCGGGTTGATGAGAGCCTGAATGAGAGAGAATGTTTTTGGGCGAGCTTTTAAGGAATTCAATAAAACACAAAATGAAATCATGTTACAAATTTCATTGCTTACCTCAGGAATGAAATCAGCCAGGAAAGAACAGCAATATTTTTAACCAGTAAAACGCCTTTTGGGGCGATCAACGGAGCGAGCGAGAGGGTGGGCCTTGGACAAGCGAATTTGCAAGGGACACATCCAACTAACTTGTGCACTGCAGCCTACTAACCGGTCCCTAGCGATGTGCCAAATTAGAGCGCAATCGGCCTAGCCGTTCTCGAGATCTGGAAGCGGCACCCTGCACGTGCACACGTGCAAAATGGGTCACAACTGACTTTTGCACGGCACCCTACTAACTGGTCCCTAACCATGTACCAAATTTCAGCACAATCGGTTCAGCCGTTCTCGAGATCTGGAATCGACCCCTGCACGTGCGCACGTGCAGCAGCACCCCAACTGTGGCAC